GGGGGGGGGGGGGGGGGGGTTCTTGAGTCTTTGGGTAACTCTAGGTTGTGTAGGGTACACGTGTACGATCTTTTTACGACAAATCGGTTTGAGCGCAAGCTCGTGGGCCATGTGGGGCTGCACTGAGATTCGGAATATTTAGGAAATATCTCGGATGTTCGATGTAGAATGAGAGCGAGTGTAGGATTCCGAGGCATTGGTGGCGAAAGTCTGGCCCGAAACCTGACATCGACCTAAGCCTGTTGTGTATGGCGGTTCTGTTTCCCTTCATCCACTCACTGATGCCCTCTGTGCTAAACCTGGACGCCAATCGGCATAGCTGAAGGCTGGTCGTTCCAAATGTCGGATCCTCACAGGCGGCATCCAGAGCCGTGACAACCACAACGGCAACGTGAGAAATGGCCGCCAGGCTGCATGCAATCCAGTCAAGGTCGAAGGCTTGTTCCGTCTTCTTCGGCGGAGTGTAAACGCCTGATGTCTGGAAGGCGTGCCCGTGGGAGACGGTCGTGACCGTGAGATTGCATTGTTCGTTGCTTTCAGATTTGCAGCTCTGATTCCAGAGTTTGATGACACGCTTTGTGTCTCTTCCAAGTATCGAAGCATGTTCCATGCAGCTCCGTGAGTTCCGTGAAGCCCCAGAGCCATGTATAAGCGCAACACCCAAAAAAACGCAAACTACACGACGTGCCGAGGGCAGCCGCACTATTACCTCTGGAAGATCCCGAAGCATGTGAAAGGCGGGGTTTGGCGAGCTGGGGCACTCTGATCGAGTAAAGCAAAACTCAGAGCCAGGCGCTATGCCAAACCCTCTGGGTCCGTGTCTTTCACCTTTGGCTGTTCCCTAGGCTATCGGTGCAGTACTGGGTTTGGAGACCGGGGGAGGGTTAACCGGGTTTTTGGGTTGGGGCTTCACTGCCTTTGCCGATGCTCGTTTGCCTCATCTGGGTTGAGGTAATGCTGATCGATCAAGGCACGCGCCTGAAGTTATACTGTGATTCAGGACTACAGGATGTAGGTAGTGTTCCTTTGTTTTTTCCTTGTAGACACCGACGCTGCTCTGAACCAAAGAGTCACTAAATGTTGAGACCTATCACATTTCCCCCCTTCACCCGATCTTCGCACCTCAGCTTCCTGCTTGCAGCTAAGCCGTGTGTGAAGCAGCCCAAAGGGAGAAGCAGGGCTTTCCACTCAGGCTTCAGGATTCTGAGGAGCAGGAAGACTGAAATCTATGTAGCTCAACGATGAAGGAACTCCCATGAACTCCAGCTTCGGGGGATCTGGACATGGTGCTGTAGTGCAGGCTCGAGGCATACAGTGGACCCTCAATGAAGACACGACAAGAGCAACGTCCATGTCAGATTCAGCAATAATTGATCAAGTACCATAGGCCATAGTCATAGTCCACGTGTGCTCGTCGCTAGCAAGCCGCCTGCTGATGCTTGCGGACCTTCGGTCGCCCACGATCCCCGAACCAGATCTAGAAGCCGCTGCCGGTAGGCCGCACGGTTCTGCGCATCCGGTACAACATCTCAACAGGCCCGCCAATTTCGAAAGGATGAAACCCAGAAGATGGACAAGCTTTAAACCGGTGGAAGAAGGCATCTCAGAATCAGGCTTGCACTTCGGGTTTCAGGTTCACGGTTGCTGCGACCCTAATCAGGCTCAGCATTAGAATGCGGTCGGTGTCGCCCCTGCTTATGGAACTCTTGTGCGCTCATAACCGCAACAGTGACAAATCAATGCGTTTTCGACTGCAAATTAAGTTTAGGGTTGACGAGCCCACGCCGGCTGATTTGATCAGTGTTATCATACACTGACACACTACACCTTACTGGTCTGTAAAATCCAGGCGTGATGGGTCAAGAGTGCTGGATTTAGGGCCCCTTCCTGAATACTGAGCTGAGACTGCCTTTCCCTGCCTGCAGGAGACTTCAACTATGGCTCTTTGGCACATCCAAAGGTCGAGGGCACGGAGCTCACAGGCGAAGTCAGTTGCGGGGTGCAGCACTTGAGATTTTGTGTGCAGGATCCAGCTTTTGGGAACTGTTGTGAGGCATTGCGATTATAGGATCTTGGATTCAGGTTTTCTTGCTTTCTTGAAGGTTCTGAATAGACTCTGTCCGAATCATGTCTCGCGATTGTGTGTACTTATGTGAGGGTGAGAATGGACGGATGCTTGAGAAACGCACAGGTGGCTTGGCCGACGCCTTCTTCATGGACCAGCGTTTCAACGATCCCCAACCGAATACCCGACGTCGAAGGACTGGGTAAATTGAAGCTAGCCGCCTAGCCTATAGTAATCAGAGAGCAACCCTGAGTGCGAGCAGCTATGTTTCGGGTTTAAACATGTACATGTAAAGTGCTTGCTTGTTCGCCCCTGTCGAACAGGGCTTGTAGATCTTCTCTCTAGCCGAGCTTGCTACTGGGGTATAGCGGCTTTCGGACAGCGGGAGGTTGTGATGTCACAATTTCAACTTCAGCACGCATCGGTCGACGAGCTGCGAATCTGGAATCCTATGTAGAAGTCGTCCAGACATCACTGACGTCCACCGTCCTAGCGGAACCGGTCGTATCGATCATCCTGTAATGCCTGACAGAGCACCCTGACGCCGATACTGCACATCGTAATCCTGACTGAATGTGCAGATGGAGATGGTGTTGTTGGTGGCGACGACGGTTTTGGTGATACAGTAATGCCGACGACTATGTTAAGCATGATGGGGACTTAGTTCCAGGTGCTGTTGATGATGAGTTTTGTCGCTGACGAGTGTGGTGACTGACATGATGACGAATGCGCAGTTTCTGCTGCAGAAGAATAATACAGCATGACGATCTTGACCATGATCCTGATATTTCACGCCTATGAGGCCGCATGCTGGAGGCAACCACGGGTTTCTTTGGTGGCAGAAGGCATTATAGAAGTACAGCTGTCACGCAAGTTCGTCACATAAGTCGCCAAGGAGAACGAGAACCACAAGGCTCCAAAACCCGTCTTGCTCACCATTAAGTTCAAGACAGGTCCCAAGTGTGCACCCATGGCCCTCGTGCCCCTGCCAGTATCTTCAAGGGACGCCCTAGCGTTCCGATTCCTCTGGCGCAAAACCCAGCACCTGGGCTGTTTGCTAGCACGGTTGTTGCTCACACGACAGTTGTTTGTTGGATTTTGCAATCGGCAACTAGTTCAGCTGGACGTTTGTACCACAACAGCTCACTCTCTCAACTCTCAACGCAACACGTATTTTTGTGGCAAGCGGATTTTGCCAAACCAAGGCAGAAAAGGGTTCAGGGGATTCGGATGAGGATTCCGGAATTATTGCATGCAGGTTTCTATACCTTTTTCAGTCGTATTCTTGGTTGTGGCACTTAAGGCCAAACCAGCTGTTAGCCTGGACACAAAAGTAGAAGCCGAAGTTGAAGCCGACACGCTTTGAGTTGAGGCCTCGGGTCTAGTGTACAAGGACTCAAGAAGTCGTCTGAAAGCAAAACTTCGGCTTACGATCGACTTGAATCTCGTCGACCTTTAGCCTGTAGTTGGCCTATTGATCGTAGCTTTTGTTGCCTCTTGTGACTCTTGTGGTATGTCCGGCATGAGTGGTATGAAAGAATCATAGGCAGGTCGTCGGAAATCATTGTCGCACGCAAAGGCGAGCGAGATTTGGTCAGGCATGTTATCTTGTAGTGCAGAATGGAAATCGACAGACAAATTGCAGCATCCAGTCGCCATCTCTGTAGCCTTGGCTCTCTGAGAGCAAAGCGTGAACTATCGAACTGCCTGTAGCAAACACTCAGGAAGTCGGCAAGCTTACAGTGATTCGTTCATGTAGATGTTCACAAACACAAAGAAGACGTCATAGCCTCTCCAACAGTCAGACGAAGACTTGTTCCATACTGCCGACAGCGCTCCTGAAGATTCGATCAGGCAAGGTATAACCAGACAGACAGGCAGGCAAGTGCGCGCGCACACACACACACACACATGCGCACATGCCACAGACGGACATGCAACTCGAGTGCTCCGAAGCCGCTTTGAACACACCATCGATCAAACAATGAAGCAACCAGATGCCAATATGCCTGGACATCTTCAAGCAAGTGCTTGCTTGCAGCGCGCGAGCGATCGATCGACGAAGCAGCAATTACGCAAGAGTAAGTCGACCAAAAAGCAGACGCACTCACACAGGCATGCACGGAGGACATATACAAAGCAATATAACCAAGTGCCACGATCGCAATGACAAGTCTGTGCACGTCTCCACGAGGACAAGTTTGAGCCTGCACCCGGGCTCTTGCTCGCAAAATGCCAGCCCTTGTTCAACCCACTGGCCCACAGCCTAGTGCTGTCTTGGACTGCATGCGTGTCATTGTTCATGACTTAGAGATACGTCTTGTGCCTTTGAGGTTGAGATCACCGCCGCCTATCCCGGCCCCCTAAACTCGGAAGCAGGAGTAAAAAACGACATTGCATTGTAGAGTTCGGGTTTGCCCGCAGTAGACGTCAGTCTCGGGTTCCAAACCCCAGGCCTGCCAAGCCCCCAAAGCCACAGGTAGCGGATTGGTTGAACCTGGAAGATGGCGAGAAGTCGCGACGCTTGGCAGCGGTCTTCAGGTCTTGGTTTTTGCGGGGTCGGGCTTAGTGGGGATGAGTGGGGCATACGGTGCACAGGATTTGGGATGCCGGCCAAGACGTTGGACTTCGCAACTTCGTGGTGTCAGGGTTAGACGCTTGGAAGGTCATTGGCTTAGCATTTCAGCTTCGGGCTAGGGCGGCCAGGATTCAGAGTTATGCCCCAGGCCGCAATCCCAAGCGGCCCAAGCACCCCGAAGCTTGAAACGGTCCATCGGGCGAAACGGCTAAAGTGCTGTACGCCCGGATTGCTCAAGCAGGTGCCACAGCGGTTTTCGGTGTAGCCTGTTCGTGCATCACGCAAAGATTAGCACAAAGGAGAAAGAAAGGGAGAGACGCCGGAACACGGCCTTGCGCCTTGGGCAGCCGAGGCCTTCTGCAGCTGCAGGTGAACACGAACCAGCAGCTCGGCTTGAAGTCTTCGAGTCTCCGATGGAGTCTGAGGATCGAGGTTAGGGGCTTCGGGTTGGACCCACCAATCTCCTCAGCAGGTCCTGGAAGGTGATGATTCGCAAAGCACGTATCAGGAGCTTCTTCAAGCTCGGCGACCTACAACGTTGGACATAAAGGTGCTGCCCTTCGAAAATTCCGCAGGATCTCAGTGCCTAACTCGGCGACGTCAGATGTTGTATAGTGATTCGTGACCGGAGTCGGTTTGCGGGCATCCTCTGCGAAAGGCAGGCAAGACTGGGAGCCCTGTAACTTGTCCTGAGACCTCACTCGGAAGCCACGAGTGGCTTGCAAGCCTCCAAGCTCAGGAAGCCCAAGACGCACAAGCCCGCAAAGCCAGATTGGATTAGGTACGGCCGCACCTTCGAGGACCGCACACACTCCTTCATGGCCCGCTTCTTACCAGGGCCCTGGTTATGCTGGACGTATCTGGTTCACACCAGGTTCTAGCATTTAGAAGGCCGCGGGGCCTTAGGTTGTTCTCAATCTTCGCTTCAGGCCTTAAGTCGTATATTCCTTCTCTGGGCTCCAGAGGTCGACCTCAGCCGATCCTGCGGGGCTAAAGACACCAACCGGGCAGTGAAGGCAGTCGTCATCGCTGTCACAGTTATTCTTGATATTGCGCATGCTGCGGGAATTGTGCAATGTCGTATATAGTATCGAAAGCACCGAAGTTGCAGTCAGCTGTTGCTTGAGATTCGAGGCCGTGGCCAAAAATTCCAGAAACATCTTGAGCCGGAGTTCTGTAGGCCGTGCTTGACTCTTGGAGGTCACTGTGTAGTGTCGGTGCTAGTAGCGTAGTTTTATACTGGCTTACGATATGCATCGAGATCTGTATTGTTTCAACTTGATGCCCTAGGTGGTGGAGCGCCCAGCCGACGTTCCTGATGGCAAGCGGATTGTTAACTACAACGTGCGCATCGCGGCAGCAGTTTCAACTCTACTACAACTCTACGCCTGAAAGCACTTCAACCTGGGCCGACGACCTAACTGCTACCCGGAGCCCGATTCACTGCAAGCCCCGAAACTGCACATTGCCTGTTTGTCTCTATCCCTCTCTCTGGCTCTGAAAGCAGTTTCCACGCTAGGCCAAAATGCAGGGATCTCAGTCAATGAATGATCAGAGATATATATATATATATATACATATAAATAAAAAGGTGTATATATGTATATATATATATACACATACAATACATGCATGCATGCAAGCATACATATACACACCCAGACATATATGCACATGTAGTATTGTTGCTTGGATAGTTTGGTCATTTGTCAAATTAGTCTTTAAGTCATGTACTGTTGATTTGTGTGTTGAGTTACATGTTTGTTTGTTTGATTACCTGATTGTTTAATGACTTAGCACTTCGTCGACGCATGGATCTGTATGTTTATTACTTGTTTGCGACATACATATGAGTGGCCGTCAAAATTATGGAAGAGCAGAGTTAGTCTACAGCGGACATGAGATAAGCATAAATCGAGGTTTGATCTGCAGAATGATAGGGGACACACAAAACACGACAACGTGCGTGTGCACGTGAGCGACTCCGACTGTCTTTTCTCTCTGAAGAGCTAGATTGTCTGTGAGTAGTACAGGTGTACGACAAGCGAGCACAATCCAGCCAGGAGCCGAAACGAAGCATTTCCAGTGCTAAAGTTGTACTACAAGCGAGCACAATCCAGTGGCGAGCCAAAACGAGGCATTTCCAGTACTAAAGTTGTATAACAAGCAAGCACAATCCAGCCACGAGCCGAAACGAGTCATTTTCAGTACTGAATTGGTACCACAAGCAAGCACTACCGCAAGTGAGCACAATCCAGCCAGCAGCACCCCGGAGCATCCCAACATGGGTTCTGATCTGCAGAACGCGAGGCGACACGCAGAAACGAGAACCCCAAGATCAATGTCCCTTCGCC